TCACCACTACAATACAATTTGGAATAAGAGAAACTAGGCAACGTTTCAACAAATGCAGATATCTATAGACAGTGATCACTTCGCTAGTTTAGCAAATGCAAGTGGCCGTTTGCTTTTCTGCAAAATTTAAATACAAAAGTAATGTTTGAATAAAAAATCTTTGCCAAAAAATTATTCAGTGTCCTTTAAGTTTATTTTATAATCATCGCATCAAACAAGACATCTTAATACTTTTCTTAGCTAAAAACCAATATTTATAATATTTTAGAGATAAGTTACGTAAGTAAATGTATATAGGTCAAAGGTCGAATGCGAACCATCTAAAATATCATTTTTTGTAAAGGTCCAGAGATTGGATCTGTCGAGAGAAACGGTTTCTGGAAGGAAATAGGAATTTTAACAAGAATCGAGGATCGCAACCTTATAAGTTATATTCGATTTTTCCGTCAAATGAGAGAAAAAATATTTAATAAAATACACAAGTAATCTTAAACTTCGTCTAAATAATTCTATCTAAGGTTAGATTATAAAGATAGAATAATTTAAAATTTTAAAACAACGATATCTAATTTATAATCCTAAAAGTTTGTTTACCTATGTCTCATCCACTTGCCCTTATGGAGGGTCGGCACAGTATGTGCTGCTCTTCCATACATCTCTATCAGCCGTCATATCTGAATATACTCCTTTCTTAAGCATATCCTCTTTCACACAATCCATACTTTCTTCGGTCTTTCTCTACCGTTGCAGCCATCCATATTCATTCCAGTTTGTTTCCCTGTACACATATGTACATATACATTTTGTTACACGTGTATTGTTTAATATAATAATATAAATGGTGATTTATTAATGTAACCAACACTTTACTGTATTTATTACGTGTATTTAACTCTATTTTATATTAATAATGTAAATCTATACTATTATAATAAAGCGTAAACACACACTTCTTTGTTGCCTAAGATGTCGGCAATTACAGCATATTTTTGAATAATTCTTTATTTAATAAAAATCTCTTAACTTACGACATGCTTTAGGCTATCTATTTTCACGCTATTAAACTTAGAGGGTAAATAAATTGGAAAAACGTTCATGTGGCAAAGGGACGACAAACTACAAGCTACCAAAATTAAGAAAGCAAGGTTATTATGGTGACGGTAATTTTGAAATCTGCTATTGAGAACTTGACAAATGTAAATAATAAATAAAGTTTTTTTTTATAATTTCATGCGGATGAAGCCGCACGGGAACAGCTAGTATGTACAATAATTGAAAACGTTAAAAGTTTCCGGTTGACGGACTTCAACTCTGACCCTCCGTTCCCTTCGTGGGAAGATGTTTATCGTGAATCGTCTTCTGTTTTAATTACGTATCATTTCACTCTTTGTAATTTTTAATTATGATTGATATAATTGACTACTTCTATTTTTTCTTGGTGTTGGGTTCAAATTATATTTTTAAACCAGTTATTTTTTTAATTTGACGCCCTCGACTATGATTTCAAAAAAAATGTATCGACTCGTGATTTCGGTTATTTTTTTCTTAGTAGCTAAAATAGACTAATTACCTGTAGCTTTTTTGTTGTTTTAATACTATCATAGATAACAAAATTTCAATGTACAATTAACTTATTTATCATATCAAAGATTTTTACATTTAATTTTTATGAATACTTTTTCCGCTACCGCTTACACTTGTACCATACTCTAATAATAATTAGTGATCTGAATGCGGCCCGTGATTGGTGAACCGATGTAGCAATTAGCTACATTTGTGGGTCGGCGCTTGTCTTTGCGACTGTACGAACATCGATTACTCTTACTTAACAATATTAATAATACAAATTTTATAGTAATGAAGTGCTTTACCAATTTATATAATTTACTAATTTAAATAGTTCAAAATTAAACTGAGTAAATGCTTTTAAATTCCATTTAGGTTTACAGTATATTAAAAAAAAATCTCGACGTTTGTTATTTTAGTTAATATTTGCAGTGGCCATTTTTTCAAATCTAAGTAAATAATTAAAACCTAATGTCCTTACGCCTTTAGATATTAAAATCGTCTAAAACACCGAATAAATGTATAGAAAATAAGTACATTCGTGTACAAAACTGATTGTCATTTGTCAGCTAATGCATATTTAAATATTTTGTTACATATTCCGATTGTGCACGACTGTACCATTAATATTCGTAACGCATACATTTCGTCAAAGCGTTTTGTTGATTAATTGGCTCGCAGAAACGCAATAGTACACATTACTGACAAAATTCAATAGAACACGACCACACAGAAAACAGGCGTGAAGTGGAAGCAATTCCGCGTACAGTCTGATGAGTGTGGTGCCAGAGGCCTAATTTTAGTTCACCCTTTTCTTAAAAGAAAAGGATGGCAAGGAAAAGTGGATTTGACTGTGAAGGAGACGCATATGAAGGGGAAATGTCCTCTATGTGTGTCTCCTCCTCCGTCAACTAAGGGTAGGCAACGCATCTGCAATTGCGGATGTTTATGGGCAGCGGTCGCTTTCCATTTCGGTTCAGGTGGCCGCTTGCTCATTTGCCACCTTATATTATATAAAAAAAACATCGTATTGTGTGTTAGAAGTTCTAAACTACAGTACGATACATTTTCCTGACCCGGTTCTTTGTAGCCTAAACTACTGAACGGATATTGATGGCTTGACAAAGATTTAGATAGTCTGAAAGGACACAGGCTACTTTCATCATCATCTTCCCTAACTTATCCTACTCGCATAGGGTTTTCGTTCTCCACATAACTATCATCCGTCATCTCAGTCACTCCCTTTTTGATCATGTCACCTTTCTACCTCTACTACCTCTACTCTACGGGTGTACCTCATTCAACGAACGTCCTTGTTACACGCGATTCATCCCTCCTCATAATATGTCCACGCTAACCTTTTACTCCTTAATAAACCACTGGTGCCACTCTTAAATTACACAGGCTACTTTAGTTTTTTAATTCCTCTTGAACGGAGTCGAGGGTGGTGAAAGCTAGTATGTCATTTTAACAGTTGATGCAAAATAACAAATTAATTACATGTCATAAAATTTAAATACAAGTGTAATAGTTTAACCGCTACGTATAAAAGCCTTTTGAAATGCTTTTTAAAAAATATAAAAAGGCAAAGAGGTTAAGCCGTTTTCAGCTGAGAAATTGAAGTGTAGTGGAAAGGCCTTTATAAAATATTTTGCGTTCTAAATAAAAAAAAAACTAGGGAGAAGTAACTGTAAATATGTTAAGAATTATTAAGGATTTGTTTTGGAGGTTAATTTCTATATTTAATAATTAAATTAATTGGTGCTTCTTGTTCCTTTTCTAAGACAAAATGTTTCATTATCATAGCTAAAATTATATTTAAAACCTATAGGCTTGTTTTTTTTCTCTTCTAATAAACAAACAAGTCGATATAATAGATAGAAAAATTATCAAAAAATCCATACTTCAGTTTCCTGCAAACGTTCTTATTTTATTAGTTGAATATGAATAATTTTACCCAAGTAAGGGTAGTATCAACAAAAGTATACAAGTTTGAATCAATGCATTCTCATTCGGAGTGGTAAACAGAGACCTTTCATCTACTGCTGTCGTAACACCTATTGCTTCCACATTCATACATTCTCTTTAGTTACGGTTCATCATCATTATCTTCCTCCTTATTCTACTCCCATAAGGTCGGCGCAACGGGTATTTGTCCTCCAACTATCCTAGCCGAGGCCTAATTTTAGTCCCTTTCCCTTTCCACTCTTTTCTAAGAGGAAAGGATGAGAAGGAATAGTGGATTTGACGGTGGAGGAGGCGCATATGACGAGGACATGTCCCCTTTTATGTGCGTCTCCTACGTCAATTAAGGGTAGGCAACGCATCTGCAATTGATGTTTATGGGCGGCGGTCGCTCTCCATTTCGGTGGTTTCAGGTGGCCGCTTGCTCGTTTGCTCAGTCATCACTCCCTTGATCATGTTACCTTTCACGCAATCCATCTATGTCTACCTCTACCTGTACCACACTCATAACTAACGTTCTCCTCTCTTTAGTTACGGGTGCTCTTTACAAAGAGTTTAACTATCAAAGTTACCTCCGTGACAAAGGCAACAGACCGTGTCATAAGTCCGACCCGAGCTCACCACCGTGAAGGCCCACACTTACATTCAATATTCGGCTTTTTACTGTGAAAGTGGTTACGATAGAAAATTTTCAGCATCATCGACCGATAACTTAAAATAACTATATTTTAATTTTATAAACTTAACCATGAAAGCGTAATATAGTAAAGAATCTTACTAATATTATAAATGCGAATGTTTAGATAGATGGATGGATGGATGTTTGTTAGAGTTTTTAGTTTAAACGGCTAAACGGATTTCGATGAAATTTGGTATAGATGTAGAGGATAGACTGGAAGAACACATAGGCTTTTTACTTTTGTTTTTTTTTTAATTCAACGCGGACGGAGTCGCGGGCGAATACTAGTATTTCATCATTTTAATTTCACAAGAATCTACTCATGTGTTTACTAGTTTTGCCCGCGACTTAGTCCGCGCAGAATATACAATTGATGTAAGTTTTTAATTCCACGCGGACAGTGTCCCAGGCGAAAGCTAGTCTATATATATATATATA